GCAGGATCACAAGAGGCAGAGAACCCGGCCACTGGAGGATAACAGCGACCTCGCAGATTACCCCACCTCAGAGGCCCCAAACCTCAGTAGGTCTTCCTACATGATTCTGTCTTTATGGTTTTAGCCATTTTGAGTTGGCCTTTCTGTCACTTCAGCTAAAAAGCATCCTAATTTATGCAGTCTAGCAGGCTTTCTCAGACATTTTCATCACAAGACTCCTTGACACTCTTAAAAACTATTGAGGAACCCAAACAGCTTTTGTTTATGTAGGGTCTAAATATCCACATTTTCTGTACTAGAAATTAAAACTGAGCATTTTCGATATTTACTTATTTCACACATTTAAAGATAACAATAATAGTAAATCCATTACATCTTACATAAATAACATGTTTCTATGGAAAAATAAAATATATTTTCCCAAAGAAAAATTTTTTAGGGGGGAGGAGTAGCACTGTTTACACATTTACAAATCTCTTTAGTCTCTGGCTGATTTCTCAGAAGTATTTGCTCCTACATTCATTTTGTTACCCTACGTTATTCGGGTTGACATATAGGAAAAACATCTGGCCTCACCCAGATGTTTCATTAGAAAAGGGGGGAGGGTTTTGATAACCTTTCCACACAATGGTGGACACTCTTCTTTGATGCTTTGACCAAAGCTTGACCATCGGCGGTTCCTTCAAGGCAAGGCAACATGGAATCTGAAAACCCATCCGTAAATTTTCCTGCTCTGTAACGTCAAAGCCCATGGGGCTGCCTTGAACTTCAGACGGATCTTTTACCCACTTAGGATTCTGCAACATCCTGAAGTCACGTGGAGGTCTTCCAAATGTTGGCACATGTCATTACAGAATATACATTTTTAAAAGCCCACCTCTGCTCGGATCTCTACCAATCTCATCACGCAAAGGTCTTTAGCTCGAAAAACAAGAGGAAACATCTCCCCTGTGAGATTAAGGTTATGGCCTGAATGAGACCTTCTGCATTAACTGAATGCCTGTGTCTCCCAAATTCGTATGTTGAAGCTGTAACCCTCAAGGGGATGGTATTTGGAGGCTGGACCTTTGGGACACGATTAGGGTTTGACGAGGCTGCGATGTCAATGGCCCCATCCCCCCTAACTCCTTCTTCGGTCTACAGCCGTTTTCATTCTTTTCCATTGAGGGGAAATCGGCACATTGTCCTTCTCTGGATCATTTCTACGGACCCAGCTCTTCAGAGATAGCGGTTCTGGGTGACGCATACCTATTTCAGTGGGGTCTTGTGTGGGAGTAGCAGGGGGACAGCTGCAAAGCACAGATGTGACGACAGCTGGCTGGATTCCGGGCGATGCATTCCGCTTATATTTGGAACTGCGGGGGACGTGCCTCCGTTGGGAAATCGTGCCTTGGACGGATGCCCACCCAAATCACCCAGGGGCTTCCAAGTGAGGAACCCAAGTGGCCCAGAGTGAGAAACCGGACCAGTTAATCTCATCCTCTTAGGAGTCTGACCTTCAGGTAGGTGTTCTCAGGATGGGGCCAGACCCTGGAAATATGGATATATTGATATCAATATACTGAATATTGATATTGATATATTGAAATATTGAGATATTGATGGTTATGTGTTTTTCACCATGAAAAAAAAAAAATGCACAGCTGACTTTAAAGCTGTTCACAAATTTATAATGGCTCAACGAATGGTTGAGAACTCTTGAACACTTGTTTATCTCCCCAATTCTGTAGTTACTAATCGGACCCTGGAGAGCACATGGTAAGGCCTACAGTGCACAGCCCCTTCGCAGTCATCCCAAAAATTCTGATCACATCTTTATTCATGATTTATTATCGATGACAACTGTTTTTATGTGCACATGGGTAAAATTTTAATTTATTTTAAAGGTTTGATTTTTTTTCATGTTTTCCCATTAAAATAGAACCTGTATGTGCCTGTTATTGTCATCACTACTCCTCTTACTGGCCTTGGTATTCCTAATGAGAACAGTGTTTATTTTGTTAACTTTCTGAATCACTACCCTTTGACCAATTGTTTGCCATTGGCTTGATGAAATCATAAATCGTTCTCCATTTTCCAAATTGAAAATGTTTCTTTCTGAAAGGAAATAAAACGGGACACCATTTAGCTAAACGAATTAATAAAAAATGATTATGGGCCTCTGCGGTGTCAGCAAATCTAATTTTAAAAGATCTTTGGGGATTTGGGAATTGTAGCATTATCGCTCTTTTGTGAATTTTCAGAATTTTAGTGGTGAAATTTAGTGAAAATTAACATCCGATACTTCCTCTTTTGTTTACTGAATTTGTGAAACTGTCGTGCAGGTTGTTTTAAAAGATTTTCAAGACTATAGAGCTAGGAATAACATATTGAAAAACATGGCATTTATGAAGCTCCAAGCCCTAACGCCCCTTAAGCGAAATATATTTTTATTTTTACAAGATACGTATTTTTTCCCTTTACACAAAAGTCGTTAGACTCACAGGACAGCACAGGAGCTCTCATTAACCAAACTAAGGAGCCCACCTCCACTTGCATTTCTGCACCCCAATAATTCCTTTCTCCTCAGCTCCAAGGACTCGTTGGCATGGAAAAGGGATCAGATGAGATAACATCCAGGGCCTTGCACCGCGCAACGTCCCTTCTGCACAGAACAAAGATCTGAATGCTTTCACCACTCTGCAAGGGCAGAAGGTGAAACACAGCTCTCCTGCGAGCCCAGGGACAACTGTATTTGGTGGGTTCCAAAAGCAATCATCACCTGGACCCCAATGCCTCCGCTAGCTGCAGAATCTCTCACTTTATCCGTCTGCAGGGAAACGGTCCACGTCATATTTTGGACCCGTGAGGCCAAGGAGACGGAAAAGGTGCCACTTCTGCACGGGGCTCCGAGTTGATGGATTTTCGGCAAGTCTGGTGGCACAGGGACAACATGCACAGAGTGGATCTTCAGAGCAGGCTGATAAGACAGGCAACCAGGGGACTGCCCCTCGTCAGAATTCCCGAAGGAAAGTGTTTGGAAGAATCGAAGAAACATCCATTGGGAATGAAATATGCTAAGCGGTCAAGAAGCCGTTGGAAGAGATGAAGATATTTTCAAAGCGCCGCCTACGTTGGGGCCGAGGTGCAAACTATAAGGCACAGAGGCATTCTTTACATCAAGCGAGCGTCTTGAATTGTTTACTATAAAAAGCAACTCTCCTATCAACAGTTTGCCCAGGGTCCCGGTCCCACATCAGAATGGCGAATTTCAGGAAAGCCGAATTGCTCTCTTGTGCCTGTTTTCAGCTTCAGAATAGGAAACAGGATCAGAATACAGGCTTCCGCTCTTTCTACCAGAGCAGCCAGCTTTCCAAAACTCCTGTCTCATCACTGGTTGATGGACGAAAAGAAGAACTGAATGATTCTCTTGAAAGCGAGGCTTAAGCCGCCAATTTTCAAAGGCTAGTTATTAGCCTCGAGTGACTGACTTAAGGATGTTTCAGACCGTCTGAAGGGGCTTAAGTGAAAAAAGAAAAATTCAAGGGCCGTGTGTAAATAGATTAACATGCATTGAAAAGGTGGATGGCTTCAGAGCAAGCATCCGCTTTGGGGGAAGAGAATGGCACGGTTGGCTGCTGATGGTGTTAGAATTCGAATCCTGAAGGAGAGCTGTCGAAATGAGCAGAGCTCCATCTGTGCAGGCTGGAGAGGAGCTTTCATCTCTATTTTGAGGTTCTCCATAGAAAACAGTTGGATGAGACCTGAAATCCCTCCTCTGCGTCACGAGACATTTCAACACGACATTTGTCAACAAATACAAAGAGAGATCCGTGAGACTTAGGAACGCTTGCTTCATTTAAGAGAGCAAGAAAAATAATAGATGGTTTGGAGGAAAATTCCCATCTTCGGGGGTGCGTGGAGGTGCTTTTATAAGAAGCCAAAGGATGCAAAGACAGAAAGGGTAGGTTTAATCACCAAACAAAACGTTAGGAAACGTTTGCTGAAGCTAGAGATCGAGCTTGGGTGGATGGTGGGTCCTTGGAATTGAAGACGAGGGCATGGGAAATGGAAGATCTCCTTGAAGATGAATCACAAGGAGTTTTGAGGGAACTGACTTACGTGCTCAGAGAAATGTGTCCTTAAAATCTGTGGAAGAAAAAGCAAGCAAATCTACACTGCATGATCTGAAAGGAGATCAAATAAGAGGCCCATACCCTATTAAAAAGTCTCCAAAATAAACAAGTTTCATTGCAAGTCAGAAAAAAAAGTACGCAATTTGAAAGTCAGATTCCAAAATGTCAACGGAACCATAAAGTCATTAAATGAACCATAGCAAAAAAAAATACATAGATAATGAATTATCCAAGAATATTCAACGTATAGTGAATTTATCATGGAAAAAAAGAGCAGAATCGTTCCAAACCCACTGAAAAAGACCATCCATGCTTGTGGAGCGCTGGACACTTACAGAATCAAAACAAAAAATGTTACAGAAAAACCGAAAAGAACTACTTTTTCCAGCTTTATTGAGATATAATTGCGTGTAACATTGTGTAACTTTAAGGTGTACAACGTGACAACTTGATACACTTATATGTTGCAAAATGATGCCCACCAGAGCGTTAGCTCCCCAGAACTTATTCATTCTATAACTGGCCCTTCGTACCCTTTGACCAACATTATCCATCTCCCGGGACCCCAGAGCCTGGCCACCGCCATTCAACTCCCTGTTTCTATGAGTTTGGCTTTTTTAGGTTCCACATGGAAGTGAAAAGCAAGATGGACTCACCCTGATGCTCCCCAAGCTGGAAGATGCTATTTTATGGACCACGGGTGGGGCGTACAGCTTCTGAAAGGGAGGTGGCACGCCATTGGCCAGAGCTGTCACATGACCGCAATGGCCCACAAAGGATGCTGGGAATTGTAGTTCAGTTGGAAAACCACGAGGCCAGGGACAGTGCTGTTAATCCAGAAAACAGACAGAAAGGATTTGGGGGGGTGTGTGTGTTGGGGGGGCGGGAACCTGCATTCTCTGACACTCGGTGTTTTCCATTAGCGTCTGCAGTTTTGATTTCATGGTCTCGACTTTTGATCTGATTCTCAGAAGTGTCCTATCTATCGCAATGAGCTGCAATCTATTTACATTAAGAAAAATGCTTATTTTTATTTATTTTTTTCCCCCATGACATCTGCAGCCCTTACTGCCTACTGGGCGTGACTTGGAATACTTTTCGTACATCAACTCAGCCACCCACAGCACAGTTGGGCACAGCAGGGAGTCTTATTATACTCCTTTTTCCGATGACGTAACTGAGGCCCAGAGAGGTTGTGTAACTCGCACAAGGTGACACAGCTCAAAAGAGAGGTACCAGGGCGCAAAACCGTAAATTGGGCTTCAGAATACAGAGTTAAATTATGATTGGCCTCGTGCACTATGTCCACAGGCGTGCTAAGTGAAGCTCCCATCATTTCTGAAGTCCGAGATCAAGATGCCAGCCAGGCCATACTCAATCTGAAGACTATTGGCAGGGGATGGGGAGAGGGGGTTCTCTTCCAATCCTCTCTCCCAACTTCTTCGGCTTGTGGTAGCTTCATTCCAAGCTACACGCGGTGTTCTCCCTGCGTTCGTGTCTATGTCCAAATTTCCCATCTGATAAGGGCACCAGTCAGATTGGGTTGGGGCCACTCTTCTCCAGGTACGACCTCTTCTTAACTAATTCCATTCGCATCAACCTTATTTCCAAAGCAGGTCCCGTCCTGAGGCCCTGGGGGTTAGGACTCTAACCTATGAATTTGAGAGGGGACCTAATTCGACCCGTAGCAATATATTAATACAGCGTGTGTGTGTGTGTGTGTGTGTGTGACTTGATCCTCCAAATTTAGGAACCAGACATGATTCAGCAAGACCACATGCTTTCCCCTTTGGTACAACTGGAAAGACTCCCATATGACGGTTTATCCTTGCGGGTAGAAAGGCGTCCTTTTTAAGTGCATGTAGAAAAGTAGGGTTAAAAATGTAGCTGCCCCAGGGGACCTCCTCTTCACCCCTGTAAAATTAGCTTTCTGGCCTCTCTCCATTCCAACATGAAGATTTTCACCCGCTGACCACCGGGCATCTTCAAGGTTCCCAGGAAGACTGGGTGACTACTGCTTTTTACGCTATGGCATCAATGCCGTCATTTCCTTCTTTCAAGTGCACAGAGATGGCAATTTTTCGTGACTTTTGTCCTCTTTTTTGCACGAGAAGAATACCTCACAGGTGGCCTTGGTGACTCCTTAGAAAGATATTCCCCGAGTAATCATCATTCAAGGGTTTCTATTTTCACTAGGTTGAACATGAACCGTTGTTTCCCCCTTGTCATTTGGGTGATTTTTATCCCCTAACTCTGTAACTATCTTTATGTTACGCGTTCATAATCCACTTTGCTCCAAATGGTACCGACGAAAATATTTCTTTCTTTGGAGGATGCCCGTCTGCTTCTTAAACACCTACCGAGTCCCTTGGAACTGAGTGGAGACCATCCCAGAGGCAAACACGCCTCCACGTCCATTTGCACACCCGAAAGACACACAACTCAGTTTAGAAAAGGATTTCTGGGATTCATGCAAAGCTACAAAGTGGCATGATTTTTCAGGCGCTTCCACAGCTGTCTTAGAGTTTTCTGTGCGAAATATAGAAAGGAGAACACACCCCCAGAGCCGATTTTTTTTTTTTCTTTTACATTTAATTCAAATGACGAAAAGTTGCATACGACAGTTACAGAAAATAGATGAATCTATGTTTAAAAATGCTTCCATTCCACCCCCGTATACACGTACATGTGTGAACGTGTGTGCACGTGCACAGACACACGTATGCTTTTTAACAAGAGTTATATCGAACTCACACTGAAGCTCATATCTGGAAAATGTTGAGTCGGCTTGAGATTTTTTTTTTTCCACTTTTTGAGAAACCCTCTCCAAGAGGTGAGAGGAGGCACAGAAGATTCCTATTCAAAGAGGAAACACGCGCCATCTTCAGATTGCTCAAAATCATGCGTGAACGCGTGACGTGGGGCATGCAATTCTGAGACATCTCGTCCGGATCACTTGCATTAAGTTCTTTTTCGATTTGGGAAGCTCTTTCAAACCCTCTCTGCTTTCAGCTCCCTCTTTTCGGAGACCTGGCTCCCCGTCCATAATGAATGAGCACCCAGCGTATTTTGGGATTTCTATGGGTCTCTGTAGGAGCTCCAGACTATGACAAATGCCTCATCCTTGGTTCTGGGTATTTAGGCCAAAGTCTAAACGTTCCATAAACATTCATCTGAGTTGAATCAAACTATACCAATATGCCCAAAGTGGCCTTTTTCCTCTTCCCCAAAGTGTTACTAAAAGAGAAGCAAACAGTTAGTATACTTTTTCAATGTTTGAGAAGACGAGGTTGTCTGCTCCAGCAAAAAAAAGAAAGCGTCAACGAGGGAAAGCAATGCTGATGACTTACAAACAGGTGCCTGCAGAACGTCAGAAACCAAAAATTACGCGAAAAGCCTCAAGTTCTTAAAAATCGCTATTTCTACCCTCTATTTTCCAAAAAATACTGAAACCGTAAGATTTCACAGGAAAAAAGGATCCCCAGAGCCATCGCCCGAGGGGGTTTTAACATCAGCGATCCTGTCCTTAAAATGCCAACATCCAGCCTTACTTCCACAGGGAACGATAATTTTGTATGCAGACAAGTGGGAGCCAAAATGATGCCGGAAGTTCTGCGTTTAACGGAAGGAATCACTCATTCCCACTTCACTCGTCACGGTGAACGCCCCGAGGTTTCCGTAGCAAGGGTCAAGCGTCCCACCACCGCTTGTTCGAAACCCCAGCAGCATCCTTCGTCTCTCGGAAGCCGATAGCAGCCTCACGCAAGAGCCTTGCCGTGCTGCCGCCGTTGTGCTTTGTGACGACGTGGACGGCGTTCGGTGTTGGCGTGTAGGACCGCACGAGGTAGTGTAGGAGCTCAGAGCAGAGTCAGAATCTCTCTGTCTAAATGATCGAGCCCACAGATCGAGCGATCCTACTACCCAGGGTCTGGCTGATGTTTAGGAATGCACCACGCCCAACGAATTGGGGTTTTTTGTCACACAGCTCATTGATTTCAAGCAGGAGAGAAAGACACTTCACGGTGGGGGGGGGGGGGGTGCCAGGAATGAAAGGAACTTTCCACAGGAGCAATAAACAGGGTACTTGTCTTGACTGAGTTTTCCTCCCAGAGCGATCAGTGGGTCCTGAAGCCCTCACACGTTCTCTGGTTCTGTAAGGGAAGACGGGGCGCAAAACGTCATCATTAGGAAGAGAAAACTCTACGGGTCGATTTTGAAGCATTATTGTCCTTTTTTACTGTTGGCCGTTTGTTAAGGGCTTTGAACGTCTTAAATCAGTTGAGTAATCGTATCTTTTTGGGTAAAACTAATATTTGTATGAACCCCTTTTTGAGACGTGGTCTAAAATAAGTCTTCATAACCTCTGAAGCGGGAGTTATTATTCCCTCCATTTTGCAAAATAAAGGCAAAGCATGATGCCCAAGCGGTCCACTTTAATGGATGGACATCTGTCGCCGTATATGGCCCCGTCCCAATAACTCTGTCCCTACAAGGTGCGCAAGCTTCAGAGCGGGCTGCTGCCTGCGTACAGCCCCACAGGTTGCGCACTGCACCATAGCCTCATAGAGCTGGCCAGTGTCCCGCTACCACCACCCTTCAGGAGAGAGCGGACATCCCTGACCCAGCTTAGGATGCTGGACAGCTGGACAACATCAGCACGACGGCTTGGCGTCACCCTCACTCCCGTCTAGGAGAAATCCCACACGTGGAGCCACCTGCTTCAGAAACTCAAGTAGGGCACAAGATTTCAGCAGGGGCCAGAAAACTCAGAAATCAACATACGTCGTAACACCTTAATGCAACATTTAAAAAAAAAATCAAAATTAATACCAAAAATATAATCCGCGACGAACAGAATATCAAAATGTGAAATCAAGCCAGGATCCAGTCCGGCATTTGTACATCCGTGCCTCACTCGCCTTTGCTTAAACCCGGCCCTGTGTCTCAATAAAACTTTATTTGTATAAACAGGCGACAAGCCTGCAGGCTGCAGTCTGCTCATCCATTATTATTTCTTTAGTATTGCACTAAAATGTTGCTTATCTCGATGAGTTTGTTGGCCCACGGCCTTACATTGGTGCCGAGATAAACTGCCTCACCCAGTGTAGCCCCTGAGGTCACAGGTTCAGCGTATTTACCGGTCACTGCCGACGATGCGGCCACAATGAATGTGGGCCTTTTCTGTAATGATCAGGCATGTTGCCAGGAAAGCAAGGGTTTTTTTTTTTTTTTCCCATAAATTCTGTTTCCCCCCCCCCCCAAACTTTCAGGCTCACCCCAGCCAAGGCGGGTGGTCAGTACCACCCGTCCACCAGCAGAGGGAGGCCACGGGCAGGTTTTAGGATTCTGAAGATGCAAATTCGAAAGAAAAGACCTTTGGAATAACAGGCTTCTGTTTCAGAGCTTCCTCTGCGGACAGAAGGGAGGTGTGGGGACAGATTCAGACCTGGGCGGTCTCGGGACCAAACCTTGAAAAACCCTGAGTTAAAAGTCGACCTGCTGTTTCTGCCATAAAACATGCGTCTCTCTGGTCTGACCCTCCCTTTGTAGAGATGTCTTAAGGGCATGCCTTGATCAGCAGCCGGCCCGTCTGCTCCTAAGGATGGATAACTGGGTGTGATTTTCCCAACCAGGGAGCCCGGATCCCAAGTTGACCCAGAAAGCCACAGCGGCCCCCCACCCATTTCCCTAGAGTCATGCCCAGCCTCTGAATTGCACAGAAAGGTTTACAACGGAGTGGTACTATAATTTTTTTTTTTTTTGAGGCGGGGGAGAGAATCATGCAAAAATTTCAGGTCCAACCCAAATACGTTTCCTGACTCGCTTCTGATTATAATTACACTGCAAACGAAAGAAAACCGTTATCAGTTTTGGTTGGATGCCACCCCCTGGTTATCACGCTCCATTCCACGTGAGCATTTTATAAGGTCTTTGGCCGCAAAATCGGATTTCGCACATCAGGAAACTGTTTTAAAAATTAACCAAAGGATAATGCGTTAAAACGCACGCATTGGTTTCTGTCAAGCTCCCGCGTGTCCGTGATAAAGTCTCAACTTAAAACGACTTCTTCACGCAAGGCGAGCTACGCCCGTCGGACTTAACCGGAAGTAACACCGCTAAAGATGCCACAAAGTATTTTTTCTTATCAGGCTTGAAAACTGAAAGAAGAAAGTTGGAGCGGAACTTGCCGTTTGCGTGGAAACAATTCCTCCTCCTGTTGCGTTGGCAATAAGTGGCCACTGTGCCCACCAGCGCCACCACCACCACCGACACGATGGGAGACACGATTTTCGCCACCGTGTTGCCTGCAGGAGTCGAAAAGCAAGATCGTCTGAGAAAAACACGGCCAGCAGGAAACTCTTTATTTTAAACAACTCTGCGGTCCCATCCCTTGACCTCTTCACTCTCAATATTCACCCCCCCCAAAAAAGAGGAAATCCACACAGGAATCCTTAGGACGTGATTCTGCTCATTGATCGCATCTTAGCCATCCAGGACGTGCAAGAGTTTTGCACAGGAGAGGCACCTGATGTGTTTTCTATTTATTTGTTTAGCATGATGGATTTGTACCATTTTAGAATGTTTTCTCAGGCCAAAAAAAAACAGATCCACGGTGGGGGACTTGGTGTGACAAAAATCAACACTCCCCCAAAAAAAGAAGTCATCGTTTCCATTTAAAATAACCACCCACGTCTTAGATCAGATGGGGCCAAGCACCCGGCACGTCGTAGGCGATGGATAAATGGCGGCTTCATGAATGAGGCGCCATGTTGGTTGGAAGGGCATTTTCACGGAGCCCAGGGATCCAACCCTCATCCGATAATATGCCTCACTTGCCTTCTGCTCTCCATCCTTCCCCTCCATTCACACACCCCCCTCTGCAAGGTGATTGGGTAGCATCCCCCATCAAGAGGTGGGGGCCAGGTCTTCATTCTCTGAATCCGTGATTCAGCCAACAGAACACGGCAGAAGTGAGTCAATGCTGGTTCTACGCCCAGGCACGCATTCTCTTCCTGCTCTCCGCACCCTGCGTGGCGCCGTGTGAGCGAGCCCAGCCCGGCCTCTGGGAGGGACGTGGGCTGATTTTGGCCCGATTGCTGACTCACGTAATCATAATCCTAAGAAATGGTTGTCATTTCAAGCCGCTTTGTTTTGGGGTCTTCTGTTACGTAGCGTAGCTAACGGATACACCTCTTTTGTCTCTGCCGTCTCACGCAAATCAATCAAGTCATGGGCATTGTCACCACCCAATGGTCCTCAAACCTGACCCTTCTCTCAACGCCCACTGCCCGCACCCTAATTTGGTTCACCATCGTCTCCAGTCTGGGTACTTAATCGGTCTTAATGCTGATCTCCATGACCCTTAGCTGGCCCTCTCTGATCCAGGCTTCACATAGGTCTAGATATGGACAGGCTCTTTCCTATGAAGCTTGTATAAAGGGCAGATGTGTCCATTGCTTACCCGGCCAGTCTTGAGTCTTGTCCCTTTCTCCATCACGCCCCCCGACCCTGGCCACACAAATTACTGGTGTAGCCAGGAGCATACCCAGCCTGACCTTGTACCCTATCTTCCCTCCCACCTCACTCTCCGCTCCTGGCTGCTTCCCCTGCATCCTTTAGACTTTGGCTTGGATATCATTGACTCCCGGAAAGCTTAAGGGCCCCCAGCCCACCCCAGTCTAGGATTCGTCGCTTCTGTCTTGCCACAAGACCCCATACGTCCCAACAAACCACATGTCAGACCTGCCTTTCTGTCTTTTCTTCACCCCTCCTGCCCCACAGAATAATCCAGCGACTTGCTAAGAATACACCCAAGAAAGAGTGACGCTGAGGCTCTGCTTGTGCGTTGGGACTCAGGGGGTGGAAGCCGCTTTCAATCACTTTCTTCTCCCACGGTATTGATGACTTACAAAATCCTCCCGGCTGGGCGGGCAGGTTCACTTCCAACCTCAACAGAAACGCCAAATCGTGAAGGGGCTGGGCCTCACTCTCCCAGCCACACACGACAAAAAGTCCACCCCTCCTTTCTTAGACCTGCGATGGGGCTGGCCATGCGCCGTTGGGGTTTCCTCTAGGGTCGAATGTCCTTAACTTCCTTCCCCTTCTGCCTCTTGGCCTCAAGTTGGTACCGGTCAACGAAAGTGGGGGGGGGGGGGGGGGTCCTCAGTGGCAGTGAGAGCGGGCCAAGAACCCCAGCTCTGTTCTCAAAGCTACGAGGCATCTTCCAGCCTGAGAACAGATCCTGTCTCCTCCTCTGAGCCCCCGCGGAACCGATCCCACCCCAAAGGGCAGGCGTTTTTGATCACGAGCTTCCTCACAGACGCGAAATCTGTAAGCGCTCCGTGAAAGTCCCTAGGTTGAAACAATAACCTGAACCCACAGTGGCCCTGCCCACAGGGATGCACGACACACGGGTGCTCTTAGTAAAGATCGGGGAGGCCGCGCCAATCGATTACCGTATTGGGTGCCGTACGTGGAATATCCGCCTCCGCCTGTAAGAGGAAAAAGCACGGAGTCATTCGTGTTTTCGGCAGAGTGTGTTGCTGCCGTCTATTTGCCAGGCAGTAAGGGGAGGCTGAGGATGCGGCAACGAGCAGAGCTGAGAAAAATCTCTGCTCTCACGGAGCTGACCTTCCGGTGGCGGACGGGGACAGAAGTCAGCGTCAGGAAGGAGGGCTGTAGGCATCACATCCCACGATGAGGAGTGGAATGGGGCAATGACGGGAGAGTGGAATACGGCTTTCATCTCAGGGGTCAGGAATATACGCACATGTGCAACGCACACAGGCACACACGCACAGGCACACCCATGTGGACGTGCATGCAGAATTCCACGTGCACATGGGAACATATGCACACAGGTGCACACTTCCACACGTGTGCACACGCACACACCCACACGTGCAGTGTATGTGTGAACATGCATGCACATACAAACTCCATGCACACACGTGAAAACATCTACTCGAACGCACAGTGTGCACGCGCATACATACGCATATGCACGTGCAAGTCCACACCTACATGTGTGCACATACATGCAATACACAGGCACACAGACACACATGCATAAACAGATGTGCACATGCATGCACGCAACCACACGTGAGCATACACACATGCATACACATACACACCCATAAACACATGTGCATGTGTATGCACACATCTACACTCAGGCACGAATGCACACACGCATGCACAAGGTACGCATATGCACACACACGCACAGGCACACACATGTATGCACAAATATGCATGCACACACACACACACAATAACACCTATACACGAGCCTTAGTCCCTTTCAAGAATTTAAGGCAGCATCGAATGCAAAACATATTCCCCCAGCTTCAGTGCCCCAGGGGGACACAAATTAGAGACCCAGCTGGTCAGCGAGTCACCATGCAGGAGACAACCAGACAACGAGACACCAGCGCCCAGGCAGAGAGTTAGTTCTGCGGAAGGAGCGTGCCTCCTCACACAGCTGTTAAGAAATCATTCCTTTACCATAACTACTTCCACCCGAGCTGGATCTATAGCGCCCTCTTCCTGCAGGAGAGAAACATCTCATGAGATGGAAGATAATATGCTTGGGGGAAGTCTCGATGACATCTGGAAAGGAAGGGCCAGTGCAAAAGCCAGCATCCCGGAAGCAAGATGTCGTGCGGGGCTGCCAGGATTCCCCCCCGCCCCGCCCCGCCCCGGGCTCTCCCCATGCAAAGGGAATGGGTGCAGTCCTACAGGGAGACTGGCGGCCGAGCTCGCCCTGCAGAGCGATGGGGCTCTGCTAACGTCCTTGAGAATGTGTGGTGACCGGGGCACGTTGCACGCCCATCGCCGAACACTGGGCGCTCCACATAGCCTGTGTGCAGACACCGTCTCTGTGCAGTCAAAAGCAGCCCCCAGCCGATGGCGGTGGGGACGGGACCACGACAGAAACACAGGCTATAAACGGGCATCACAGCCGGTAAAAATAAAGGAGATTTCTCGATGCATTCTTCTTGTGTCTTGAGGGCAATTTTTAAAGAAAGGTTTCAGATGAAAACAAAATGCTTGGTGCTAATTTTGTTAATGTTGAAGGGGAATGGTTGTCTGCAGGTACTATTTGAATATCGACGGGTGATTTTATAAGCTGCCTCTTCCGAGTGGATGATGGGTATTATGGGCTGAATCGTGTTGCCCAAATTTATATGTTGAAATCCTGAGCCCCAGGACCTCAGGATGGGGCTGTGTGTGGAGACGGGTCTTTAAGGAGGGGATGGAGGTCAAATGAGGTCATGAGGGCGGGTCCTGATGGGAAGAGATGAGACACGCACAGAGGGACGACCACGTGAGGACACGGGGAGAAGATGCATCCACACGCCAAGGAGAGGCCTCAGGAGGAACCAGCCCTGCCCGCGGGAGGAGGGGACCTGCCAATCACGTTTTGCAGCCTGGCAGGGAGAAGCGGCATGACTCACCCAACCGTTGCTTAACCGCAAACCTCGACGCTAATCTGAGGGCTGATTCACAGCCTCGCCCAGCTCCGGGCCAGAGAACGGGGGTCCCCACAGGGACAGGAGCAGATGGGCCTTTCAAGTGCCGCACGTGAAAATGAGCGTGGCACACCCCCCCCCGCCCCCCCAAAAACAGTGCCATCACCCCTGTGTGCCACACGGGCTTGGTCCAGCTGCCATTTGCGCTCGGCCCCACGCACGAGCACGGGATGCTTTGCAGAAGCTCGGCCCCCGGGATAAAACATCATCCTGACGGGTAAGCATTCATCCCCTCGGGAGCAGGTCCCCAAGAAATGGGTGGCTCCTGGAGCACAGTTCTGACTAATTTCCTGAGAAAACATACAGAAACCCGCAGGGTTCCCGGGAACACTACCGGAGGGGTCCTTTCTCTCCGACTTATGAATCAGGCAAAGAACACAAAGACACGCCCTAGAAAAGATCCGTACGGAGCGAGGCTCTTCAGAGACGTGTTTGTAGGGTACAAAGTTGCCCCTGAGCGGGGCATTTCCCCAGGCCGGAGGGATGTGGGGGCTTCTGACAATAAAACGCTCCACGTGGCTATTTATAAAAATATTGAATTGGCTTTTGCCCCTCCATTCAGTCGGAAGAGGATGACGGGAGCATCGCCTCAGCACGTTGAGTTTAAAGTGGATGGTTCTTGAGCGGGACATCAGCTGTCCCACGCTGAGCTTGTGCACCTTGTAGGGTCACCTATAGGGTGACAGACGTCTATTCCTTAAAGACGAGTGTTTCAGCATCATGCCTCGCCTTTATTTCGTAAACTGGAGATAAAAATAACTCTCGCTTCAGAAGTTACAAGGATTCAGGGGACCCACCCCCCATTCCCAAAAGGACAGCACATCTTGTCAAAGCCATAGAAATAGGGGTTTTAGTCACTCAATTCATGGAAGATGCTCAAAACCCTTAGCCAACGGCAAACAGAAAACGAAAATCACGGCAAGGCTTTAAAATCAATCCACAGATTGACGGATGAGGGAAGGGCGTCAAAATCAACCAAATTCCAGTTATAAAGTAAAAAAGTCCCGGGGACGTCACGTCCAGCACGGAGACTAGAGTTGACAATTCTGTGTTGCGTGTTGGAAGGTTGCTTAGAGTAGATCTTAAAAGTTCTCATCACCATAAAAAAAATTTCTAGCTATGGGTGTTGATGGGTGTTGACTAGATTCTCCACGATGATCGTTTCACAATAGATACAAATATATGCAATGTGTTCGATATACAAACATCGAATCATTCTGTTGCGCACCGGACGCCAACAGGATGTTACATGCCAATTGTATCTCAATTAAAAAAAAAAAAAATCAATCCACAGAATTTTCTTTTCCCGGCTATGACATTTGGCTCCCCATCTTCCCTTCCAGAACCAGAGAAGGGCTCAGGACGGCAAGAGGCGCTGGTCACTCTGAGAACGGCCCAGTGAAGACAAGAAGCCCGTTTATCCCTCCTGCGGAACGTTCCTTTGCTTCTTAGCGTAATCCACCCCCCTCACAAGGAAGCCCTAATTCCTTGGATCTTGTCTCTCTAACGAGTCTTGGGTTCCATTCCTGTTTCTTTCTACCTGGGCGAAGGTGGGTGGGGGCGGCCCACGGACCCCGGGACAGCAGAGCCGGGACAGGCCGGAAGGTCAGTGCAGAGACGGCGGCTCAGAAGAAGGCGCCCGCAGAGAGAGAGCCCCAGCACCCAAGACCCCAGCAAGAAGATATTATGAGGAATGCATCTTGGAGGTCTGGACGTTCTGCCCCGAGCCCGCCGCCCACCCCGGGCCCCAGGGTGGGGTGTACCGTGTGTGCTTCCGTAGCCGTCATAACCCGGGTGGTGGCCGCCGCCGCCTCCTGTGGGAGAGAAGGTGGACATGAGAGATGCTCTGGCTGCGGAGCGTGGGGTCCCGGCGGGTGTCCACGTGGGTCAAGTGATGGCGCCGAAGCCACACCCGAGAGTCACCCCAGAGACGGCCTCATACAGCGGCTAAGAGCAGGGTCCACCGGGGGACGCCCAAGGGTGCCCCCCAAAGTCACAGGTTCCCAGTGGGAAAACTCACACCAAGACGAGCCCTCTGGAAAGCTCTTTGCCTTCAGAGGACACAGACGCACCCTGAGGGCTCCAAATTAACGCAGGCACGTCCCCTTCCTGCAGATTCGCGAGGGGGCCGGAGACCCAAATACAGAATCGCCTTTACCAGAAGGGAGATTGGGCAGACCATCCCAAGCATAAATGTTTGTTATTAGAGACTAGGCATTCTCACTTTTTCCCTGATCCTCGCTGAAACAACCTTTAAGACAAAGCTGTTTCTTTATTGCATTTAAACATTGCAGAAAAGATGACCGGATGCAGACGACAAATATGCCCCTTGAAAGGGGGATCGGGGACAAGGCCCTTAACTCTTCCGAAATAAAATCGCAGCTCTAAGGAAGTGAGAAGCCTCACATTCTGGAAGATAAAGCCTCGTGTGTTATCAGTGGAGCCCAGCATTGCTGCAACTGTCTGCTAAACGACCTGGGAGTTTATTCACCTGTGAAGAATTCCAGGCAGCTGCTCACAGGCCGATTCTAGAGAAGACGTTACCTTAGGAGTCTTATATATGCAGATATGGGTGTGCATGAAGGCATATGCCCGTGGATAGACAGATACATGTATATGAAGATACATATGTATAGAGACACTTATATGTAAAGATAGATCACAAATATAAACAGGTGTACACGTAAATGTATATAAAATATGAATACAGTCCTATATAAAGATTTACATAAATGTGTATATATAAAAACATATATGTAGACGCCCATATAAAACTATATAAAGATATGCATATAGAAACACACATGAATATATAATATATAGAGACATATATGTATGCACGTATATAATACACACACATACGCATACATATAGAAAGGCATATATCTACATAATTTTATAAAAGTGTGTAGATAGAAACACACATATAAATATATATATACACATACATGTATAAAAAGGTGTATATACAAAGGTATATATATATAAATACAAAGATAGACGCAGCAACATACATATATAAAAGAATATATATATACACATGTATGAAGATATATATGTTTATATAAATAAAGGTATATAAATCAAGATGCTATATTTATACATACATAAGTTATATACATGTGTATATATATAAAGGTATATATATATATAAAGGTGTATATATAAAAACGCATAAACATATAGACACATAGTCGTATAAGCGTGTATATACACCGAGAGAGAGATACATAAATACAGAGATTTATAGACAGAGACAAGATCTTCGTTGTTTCCACCACAGAAACGAACCGATGGTTCTGTGACAAGATGGTGGTGATCATACGTCAATATATACACGTACCAAATCGACACTTTCTACCCCTTAAACTCACACGGTTATATGCCAATTACGTCTCAACAAAAGCAAATTTAGAAGAAGCTAGAGATACCTATACAAAGGTGTACATATATGCACACATCTCTATAAACACACGTGCACAAATATATGGAGAGGCAAGTGTGCACACGCTTGTAGGAAGGTGTGTGTACACACAGGTCCGTGCAGATACACGCACACACACGTGTATGTTTCTACGGAGACAAACACCACTTTTCAATGGAATCTGTCCCATTGCCAGCTTACGCCCACACCACAAACCCCCAGTGAGGACATTCCCATGGGCCTCACCCCATTGGACGTTGGAGGGGTGAGCCCCACACCCCCACCTTCCTATTGGGTTGACCTTGCACCCAGGCCCGGTCCCATGGCCTCCCACCCGGTCTCCAGTCAAGTCAGAGAAGCCCCCCACGTACCTGCTGGCTGCCTGGGTCTGGGTGGGTATCGGCCATCACCGCGGTCCACGTCTAAGAAACCTGTGGGGCACAGCACAGGGCCGGTCCTAAAGTGCTCTCCAGACGGCCCTCTTAAACCCCAAGCCCCCGTGAGGGGCACGGGGCAGCTCATGGAGAACAGGGTTCCGGCCCCCGCAGGCCCTTTCCAGGATGCCAGGGCCGCCGGGGACCAAACCTGCAAGTGTCCGCAGGGCCATCGGGGTGCACTGGCCACCCTGCCTCCTCCCTGTGCGGGGAGCCCACCAGCCTGGGAAGGGAGATGGATAGGACAGCCCCCTTATGATCTGAGAGCTTGAAAAGAAATGCAACCCCGAGAGGAAGGCAAGATGGCCCTTCGTCGCTCGCGCCACCCTCTCCGCTCCCTCCCGGCCACCCTTCCTGCCTCAGCCCCCTGCTAAGATGACCTGCACCCGGCACGGGGTCCCATAGATTCCATATTTACCCATCTGTTGGTTCCTCCGCCCCCACCACCCCACATGGGGACACAGTCCGTTTGGACACCAGGCTCGGAAGATGGTGAGACTCAACTAAACGCTTTGCAATTCATGAGCAAGAGGTGGAAGCAACCCAAGTGCCCGTCAATGGGTGAATGGATAAAGAAAATGTGCCATATATATATATATATATATATATATACACACACAATGGAATACTACTCAGCCACAAAAAAGACGAAATTCTGCCCGATGAAGAGATCGAGCCCGGATGGTCCAATGCACAGGTGACATCCTGGACTTGTGACTGGCGTCTGAAGGGGGGTTATCTGGTGGAACTGAGCCGTCCCCCTATGGAGTCCAACACCGTCTCCAGGTAAATGGCATCAGAGTGGAGCTACCCACTCAGTGGTGTCAGAAAACACACCCACCAGAGAGACCCCGGAAGTCACCCATCGGTTCCCATTTGGGAAACTGCCATCTGGTTACCTGTGCCCTCCAGGATTTCCCTGCCCGATTCTCGGTCTCCTTTCTCACATCCTGAGCAGCCGTGTGTTTTTTTTTTATGATTTTTTTTCAAAATAGGACCCAATTTCGTACGCAAAACGGTCCACGAAGCTCCCTTTCGGGTTTAGCCGCGGTCATTTCTAAAACTCTGCTGGGCACCCAAAGGTGGAGACTCTTTTCCGGAAATGTCGACGTGCGAAGTTTGGCAAAGAGGGGGCGTAGTGATTTCAGCCCGGGCTGCCCGCCGGAGGGTGCAGGGGAGAGTCCGTAATTTGGAGTCAGAATAAACCTCAGGGCCTTTAGGGGCGGGGGCGAGCCTGTCCGCTGAGCCTGGCTGCTGGACGTCAGCAGCACTGGGGGTGGAGCAAGATAGCAGCACCCACGGCCAGCGATGGTCGTCCCAGGCAGGGACATGCTCTCTACTCCTATTGGCCTGAAGCCACTGCCCTGGGGCCCCTGGGTCCCCCGCACCCATTCTCCATCTGCATCCTGCAACCACAGGAGGGGTCCTAGGGGAGACGCCAGCCTTAGGATCCGAGCTGTGCCCATTGCTGACGCCCCTCAGATGCCCACAGCCAACTTCAGAGTTGGAAGATGTGGACCCAGAGGAGAACCAGGGGAGGCCCACAGGGCTGTGGGGGGGGGCCTGGGGCTGCAGAGGAGCATTCAGGACCGTGCCTGCCAAATTCTGAGGGTCAGGAGGCTCCTCCCCGTGGAAGGTGGCCGACGGCTTGGATGCATTAAAACTACCTGCTTCGTCCCCAAGAGCCAAAAGATGCTGCCAGGATGCACCCGAGAATGACGACAGCCCCATGGCTCTGAGCATCCTCTCGGCAAAACTTCCCACGGTCTCCTTTTCGTACCACCGAGTCCAAATGGCCGCTCTATTTTCCAAAGGCGTGTGTCAAGGACCCAGCTACTTGGGGCCTGCAGGAGCTCCAAGAGGATCTTCTCCTCCTGGTTTGTGAGATGCATCGTTACTTCCGGGTCTCTCTTGGCTCTCCAAATTCACTCCTTAGAGAAATGATTCCGTCTTTGTCCGTCTCTAGATGCACAGCCCTCGCATCGGGGGTAAAAAGCGTGCCACTGGGGCTTATTAAAAGTGTGAAATGCGAACGGCGGGCGAAGGTCCTCTGCTTTTTTTCCCAGCAAGAATCGGTCCGTCAGCAAAGCCCTCCCAGGACCGTGGGGAGCCCCCAACCACACGGCGTCCCTAAACTTGTCTTCTGAAGCAGAAGACGGGGTCGCATCTGCAAGCAGATGAGACTCAAGGCTCTGGAGAGCTCAAGACATCTATTGTATTTTGTTTAAAGGAGTGTTTCTGAAACATCATCGAAAACAGAAGGGCCTGGATGAGGACCCTTATTCACACCCTGCAGCACGTGTGAACTCCAAAGCCAGAGATTTTGGGGGGTGGGGGGGGGGGGGACGAGGGGCCGTTTTGGAGCATTCTAGCAAATGGAGTTTGCTGGAAGGGGTTCGGGGGTGAGTCCACCGTCAGCTCAGGCATCTTTCACGAGGCTGATCTTTATCCAGAACCCGCTGTGTACAGCGCCAGGCATCGCTCAGGGGAGACAGCATGGAACGAAAGGCAAAAATCCATGCCCGCGTGCAGCTTTCCTTCCCATTCAAGGGAAGCAACTGAAAACAGTTGCCCGGCCTTGCATATTAGTTTCAAGGGCTTCAGGGCGAGGGGATTCAGAGAAAGGGATAGTGGGGGCCAGTGGGACATGTGGGGATCACGATGTAGGATCTGGAAACAGACCCCCAGGGCGAGACCTGCCAGAGCGGGGAGGCAATCCCGCTCAGACAGATCCGTCAGTCGTCCAGTTGGCTGTCACCGAAGAGTATTTGGGACCCTAGGAATTTCAGGCCCAAACAATGGAGAGAATCAGCGACACTCCCCGATGCCAAAGGAGGTTGAAATTAGGACACCCAGCACGTGTTAGCTTTCTCCAGCGCCCATCGGCCTGCACACACGTGTGCCCACGCCGTGGAATTATTGCAATTCTTCCACCTTCGCGGGCCAGCATCCCTGTCCTGAGTGGGCTCCCCCTCTCGTGCACGATTTCCAAAATTTCACGCAAAACGCTGCAGGAACTCGGGCACAGCGAAGAAAATAAAACATGTTGGCCACCCATCTTCCCCCGGGTGCTGGTGGGGAGCAGAACGGATTCCTCAGAACAGAACCTCCGAGAATTTCAAAAGCGACGGGTATTTCCCCACCGAGGATGGAAGGTCACGACCTGAGATGGTAAACGGCCTCCTGACACTGAAATGCGTCCCACGCTCACGGCTCTTACCTCCACCGCTGTCGGAACTGCCGGGATGCGGGCGAGGCGGTGGCTTCGGTGGGGGGTAAATATCTGTTGGCAAACACCAAGGGGGATTTTAACAAAAGAGCGAGATCTTTCGGCGATGAATCAGCCACACGATCATCCTAAAGGGACTTCTTGTAAATCTACCAGCTGTCCGTCAAGTCACCGGGTGGAGAGACCTTGGAGAAGGGTCTAGAATGGTCCTATGCCCATTTCTCCACGATTGCTCATCCACAATGGCCTTCCTTGCACAATAGAACATTCCAGAACTCCACACTCATATGCAAAGGACTTGTCACCCCTGCTTGCAATTTACATTTACAGGTGCCTGGGCTAGCCTGGGCTAGACTGGGCTAGCCTGGGGCAAGCACGAGATTCAAGGACGGCTTCCCCTCCTCTATCACAGCTCCCGCCAGGTTCCCACCAGCTTGCTTTCCCCCGTTTGGTGAGGAACGCCTTGGGTTTGCTCCCTGCCTGAGCCAAAAAAGACTCCGCAGTCTGACATCAAATATAAATGAATAATTTGGTAAGACACCCTGCCCCTGGCCGCTGGGTTGGAGCAAATCGTGAAAATACACCCCGGAAAGCACCATCCCTGTTCGCTCTGGATGCATCGGCAGCTCCAGCCATGAGTCACCCGAGAGAGTCACCTCCCATGCCTGGCAGTACCCCCCACGCCCCAGGGTGGATGACTCGGCCTGGTGCTGGCGGTTCAGCTTACGGGATGGCTCACGTTTCCAGTTCTCAGGAGTCCCGCCCTTGGCGGCGGGCCCCAAAGATATTGGAGCAAGAAACACTTTCCATGACGGATTCCCATTGGTACCTCGCAGAGGAGTGGTGCTTCTTGGGACAATCATTTAAAAAAAAATACTGGGAGGAAATCATATGAGCAAAAGCTGTGGAATTGGGGATGTCGATTATGGAGGAAAAGAAAAATAAGGAAGATGAAATGTTGACTTCACCATCTCATAACTAGTACTGTTAATCTAAGTGTGGCTTTCCAGTGAGCTAACAGCTTCCTCGGACCTTAGTCTTTATTTTTACTGACCCCTTCCTACAAGGAGATAAATTCCCATCCATCTAAATGCCAGGGCAATCTTCCAGGAAACTTCTAGAAGCTTTCGACTTAGCTGGCTTCATGCTGCTCCATCTTGTCCATCAGGTTTTAGGTTTTTAGGGTGATTGAATTGCTGAGAGCTCTATCAGCCAGTATTTCCCTTTTTTTAACTTTTTTTTTCTTTGCTGAGGAAGATTGGCCCTGAGCTAACATCTGTTGCTGGTCATCCTCTCTCTCTCTTTTTTTTTTTCTCCCCAAAACCCCAATACATAGTTGGATGTTCTAGTTGTCGGTCCTTCTAGTTCTGCTATGTGGGATGTTGGCACAGCATGGCCGATGAGCGGTGTGTAGGTCCCCACCCAGGATCCAAATGCAAACCCGGGCCTCTGAGCAGAGTGTGTGAACTTAACCGCTTAGCCACGGGGCTGCCCCTTTCCCCATTTTTTTTGTTTTGTTTTTGTTTTTAAAGAAATATACGGGAGCAGTTTCTGCCACCTTTTAGAAACCACAGAGAAACTGGGGGTAAATGACATAAAATGCACCGGGCAGGGGAGCTTTCTTGAACAGGAAAGCCAAAGCTATCAGGAGCTCTGCCAACAAGCTGGACAAACAACTTGTCCTCCAGCCTAATTAACAACCCATCACGTGAACCCACAGCGTCCTCTGAGGACGCCCTACTTTCCAGGTGTCAGAGCACCGGGAAAATGCAATTACTGGTATCGGTTCAGTCTCCCACGGACCGTTGGCCGTTCCTTGCAAGGCCAGCTGTGACTTATTTCAGAAGCGGCCATGTGAAAACTCCCGGTCAAGAAAAGCCAAATTTCTGGGGCCGGCCCGGTGGTGCAGCGGTTAAGTTCCCACATTCCGCTTGTCGGCGGCCCGGGGTTCACCGGTTCGGATCCCGGGTGTGGACATGGCCATGCTGTGGTAGGCGTCCCACATATAAAGTAGACGAAGACGGGCATGGATGTGAGCTCAGGGCCAGTCTTCCTCGGCAAAAAAGAGGAGGATTGGCAGCAGATGTTAGCTCAGGGCTAATCTTCCTCAACAAAAAAAAAAAAAAAAAAAGGAAAAGAAAAGCCAAGTTTCATCTCCAACCAGGTTTGCAACGAGTCTGAATGCTGAGAATTCTTACTTCCGCTGTTGTCGGGCATCCCAGGCTGTGGGTGATAAGGGGGTTTCGGCCTCGGGTGGATATCTGTGGGGAAAACAGCATTGTGTGTTTAGAAGAGCAAAATATCCTTCCGGCACGAGCAGCCTATGAAACAAGAGCATCAGCCGCATCGTAGATTTTACGTATTATTCACATGGGCTGTTCATGGTTTTATAGATGATTGTTGACCGGCTAAAAGTCGCTTAGCCACTAGGAGGAAAACCTCAAAACCTGAAACTGAAAGCATCACACACACACACAGAGTCCTTTTGTCCTGGAAGCTAATTTTCCTGCAAGAAGACGGCGGACTAGCTGCTTGCAACACGGGGGACTGCGATCCGAGGGGAAAATCTTGGATTCATTTACCAAAATAGTGACACCTGGTTTCCTTTGAGCCCCTCCTCCCACCTCCTTCCCGGAGAAAAAGAGCGCAACACGATTCTACAGTCAGTGGGTGCCCCCCCTCCCACAGCAGCTTAAAACGTGACTATGGAAGTAGGCGCCCATAAATGAGGCATAGTTTTTTGGGTGCATTTTCCAATTGACGTCAATATTGTCTTATTCTGCATGTTTCTCTCTCTCTTTTAACGGCTTCTTATATATATATATATGGGGAGAGATGATTGACACGTGACATTGTTAGTTGGGGGTGTACGAAACAACGGCTCGCTATTTGCATATGTTGAGAAAGGATCATCAGGATCAGTCTGGCTAACGTCTGTCCGTCCGTCCCAGGGCCCGGCCCGTGGCCGAGTGGTTAAGTTCGCGCGCTCCGCTGCACTGGGCCGGGATTCGCCGATTCTGAGATATTATTAACTACGTTTATTTTATATTTTGACATGCATTCATTCTGATGCACACAGACCTACTTCTTTCAGATCGACAGCTCCACTGCCTGATTCCACAATGGCCAAACTGATGACCATTTCACTGTTTTGGGGTTTTTTTTTTGTTTTTTTGCAAACAATGGTGCACCCCTCGGTTCCCTGCTTTTCTCCTCGTGCGGAACAGCATGAGGTGTGGCTGGGTGTTTCCTGGAAGCTGAACTGGTTGGGGGTGGGGAGGTGGGTATGCTGGTATTTAAAAGGCTCTTCAAGTCATTTTTTGGGGTTATCACCCCACCAGCAAGGTTTACGCAAATCGTTGTTTCCAGACCTTGAATCCATTGGGATTGGTTTGCATCTGCCTTTCTCTGAATGTGCATGACCTCGAGCGTGTTTTTCTTACAAGCGTGGTTTCCTGTTTCTGAGCTGCCTGCACCCGGCCCCTCGGCACGGCTGTTTGGATTTCTTAGAAGCAGCATCTACATATTTTGTACATTAAACCTTTGCTGGCTATGTGAAGGGCGTAGAGCCTCTTTTAGCTATTCCTAAAATTTTAGCATCATCTAATTTTCCAATTTTTAAAAGTCTGTTGCTTTCGGGATCTCACCTCGGAAAAGTCTCACGACCCTGAGGTCGTAAGACACGTCCCTCTATTTTTGCAAAACTTCTAACGTGTTCCTTTTCACGTTTAGGTTTTTCATCCAGCTGCCGTTTATTGGTAAGGATTGCAGGACGTTGCGATTTAATTACTTTACCCACAGGAGCAGCCAAATGTCCCAGCCCGGTGCACGTGGAATCATTCTGTCCCCACTGTCTTGTACCTATGACCCGTCCTGGGCACCAAGTTAGAATTCGGTCCAAAGTCCATTTCCAGCCCCTCTGAGCTGGTTCATTTCTCTGTCTGCCTCCGAGCCCCTGAGTGTCCGTCCTTCCTCCACTGACCTGCCACCCAGCCCTGGTCATGCATCCGACGTCCACCTGCCCAGAAGCTCTATGTCCGGGCTTTCCGGTCTGATCCGACGCTCAAAAACGTGTCCATCCCGGGACCAACGACATTCTGTCCTCCTAACTAAATTAGCTGTGCTATAACCGTCTACACTGCGCGAGGCGGGAAGTCCGAAAAGAATAACAACTAAGAATATATGGTCACAATGAGACATCCCCTCACACCTGTTAGTATGGCGATTATCAAAAAGGCAAGAGAGAACAAGCGTTGGAGAGGACGTGGAGAGAAGGGAACCCTCAGGCACTGCTGGTGGGAGTGCAAACTGGTGCAGCCACTATGGAAAGCAGTGTGGAGTATCCTTAGATAATTAAGACTAGAACTACCATATGACCCAGCTATCCCACTGCTGGGTATTTATTTATCCAAAGAACTTGAAACCAATAATTCAAAGAGACTTCGGCACCCCTATGTTCACTGCAGCATTATTCACACCAGCCAAGACTTGGAAATAACCTGAGTGCCCATCGATGGAGGAATGGATGAAGAAGATGTGGTACATAGACACAAGGGAATACTACGCAGCCAGAAAAAAGAAGGCAGTCCTGCCATTTGCAATAACGTGAATGGATTCTGAGGGCTTTATGCTGAATGAGATAAGCCAGACGGAGAAAGACAGATACCGTACGGTCTCACTTGTATGTAGAATCTAGAAAAACCAACAAACAAATTCATGGCTGCCGAAAACAGATTGGTGGTTCCCAGAGGCCGGCTGGGGGGGCGGGCAAAATGGGTGAAGGTCGTCAAAAGGAAATAATCCTAAAAAAAGAATGTGTTGTTTAGGTACACACATCTAAGATAAAACAAAATGAAAGAAAGTGAGGGAAATCACCCATAAAAATTCTGTATAGTGTTTACCTTTGATGAGGGGACAGGAAGAAAATTTCTAGGTAGACACATGTTACCGCAAAGTATGGGTTCTTGAATTCATCACTAAATTAATTATAGTATGAAAAGGCTCTGCCTGCACAAAGATGATGGGGGGGCGTGAAACAAAGATTAAAGTTTGTCCAAATTCTGTGCAACTGTATATATCTTTGACTTACATTTTTTATTTATTTACATCTATGATAATTAATGTACATTATTGCTACTTTTTAAAATTTTTTCCTCCTTTTCTTTTTTAAATTCTTTCCTGAACTCTATTTAGTTAATCAAGTCTACTTTATTCTTCATTTTTTTTCTCCTCACCTCGTGCAGGAATCAAGCATTCAACTTCTATTTTGAACAAGAGTATTCGAGTTTTAAAATGTCGAAATCCAGCAATGCTGGGTTACTTGCGCTGGATTCACCTTCTCGACATCACTGTTACTGTTTCCTAGTATTTAACTTAAGAGTTTAATTGCATTTTCTTGTTAAAAAAAAAAAAACAACTCATTGACTTTAACAGTTGATCATCATTTAGTTTTACCAACATCTTAGTCCCTACTGCTTTTTGCATCCACTCTACCCTTCTGGGTTCAGATTCCTTCTTACTGAAGTACCACTTGGAAGTTCTTTCAGTAAGACTCATGAGGGGACCAGGTTCCCTCCGTGCAAAGGCAGGCTGCCATAGGGACAGGACAACTATTTTTAAATTTCCTGGCTGGAAAAGCCTATTCTGGACATCTCATATAAATGAAATCACACACTATGTGACCATTTTTTGTCTGGCTTCTCTCCCTGAGCATCATGTCCTCAAGGTCCATCCACGTTGTAGCCGTGTTAGTGCGTCATCCCTTTTCATGGCTGTGTAATATTCCATTGCGTGGATGGAGCACATTCTGTTTATCCTTTCGTCCATCGATGGACGCTAGGGTTGTTTGCACCTCTCAGCTATTAGGAATAGTGCTGCTATGAACATGTATGTTTATGCTTTTGTTGGAATCCCTGTTTTCAGTTCTTTCGGGCCTGCACCTAAGAGTGAAATCGCTGGATCGTGGGGTAACTCTACGTGAAAATTTTTGAGGAGCCGCCAGACCGTTTTCCACAGCAGCTGCACCATTTCCCACCCCCGTCGGGAGCTCGCGGGGGTTCTGATTCCCCCACATCCTCGCCACCACTCGTGATTTCCCATTTTTCGGTTCTAGCCGTCCTCGTAGGAATATAGCAAAGTCTGGGTGTGATTTCGATTTGCATTTCGCCAGACTAGGGTTCATTTAGCATCTGCTAACGGGAGATCACTTGCGCCTCTTTCACGTTCTCCGAGACCCCATATCCTCACGGACCCCCTCCAAAAACACCAGCTCCAGGGCGTGGCCTCGGTCCCGCCCCGCCACGTCGTCACTCACCTGAGCTCGGCTTCTTGGTGGGTTCTGCGGACGGAGAGAGAAAACACACTCAATAAGCATGGAGGATGCATCCACAGCTCAAAAGAAAGAATCGTCAACACCCTGATAAAGATTGAAAATTTTAAGGCGCTAAAAAGTAAGTCGTGTGAACACGCATTCCATTGTGTATTCAGGGGAAGAAAAAAAAAAAAATCAAAGACGACACTCTTCAAATCTGTACCCGCCGGTCTTGCCAGCAGCTGTGCAGGAGTCAGGGGCGAGGAACGATTTAATGAGACAGTCAGCTTGGCCCCTTAGCAGGCAGATTTGAGCAAAGACTTGCAGGAGGGGAAGCGGCAAGATTTCACAGCCCTGCAGGAAGACCCATCTTAGCCCAGAGCATCGGAGCGGGTGGGCGCACAGCGGGTACCACATGCCCCAAAAAGGTGGCTTCGGGTCTGGTGAACCATGATGGGCGAGGCAAAGAGAAAGCTGGAGAGAGCCCGCTCGCTTCCGGACGATGCTGTCTCACTTTCTCTCATGCACGCCTTGATTCATTCGATAAACATTCATTGAGTGACCGTTGGTGCCGGAGAGCATGCATACGGGGCCATCACAGCGTCCCAAGCGTTTGCAAAACCACAAGGTCAGCACTCATGGACGTGGATATCAGGAAACCTCGTGTTTGAAAGCTCCCTCTGCACTGAGCATCACGTCTTCAAGGTCCATCCACATTGCAGCCTGTCTCAAGGAAGGAAAGGAATTCCTTCCTTTTCCTGGCTGAGTAATATTCCATTGCACGGATGGACCACATTCTGTTTATCCATTCATCCGTGGGTGGACTTCAGGGCTGTTTCTACCTCTCGACCGCTGTGAATCAAGCTGCTGTGAACGCGCGTGTACATGCATACGATTGAGTCCCTGCTTTCAATTCTCTCGAGCGTCTACCTGGGAGCAGGATGGCTGGGGCGTACGTCGGCGGTGTTTTTTAATCGGTAAAACATCGTAGGTGATTCTGCTACCTGACCGGGGAGCGGGGTCTCAACACTGGCGTGCATCGTGACCTTATCCTGCCCCCAACCCCAACCCCAACCCCAAAGCTGAAGCTGCAAAAATTAAAACTCCCCTCGAAATATTGGCACTCACCGGGGTCATCCAGAGCATCCGCCAGGTCGAAGTCGCCTTGACCTGCCAGGAATACACACAGCGTAAGTCACACCAGGATAGGACGCTCAGGGCCCCGGTCCTGTCTCTGGGGTCGCCTCCCTTTGCCTCGTCCACCCACCGACCCAGAGATTCCCCCCTAGGCGCAGTTCTTTTGTTTTGTTTTTAATTCATTAGGTTTTTATTATTATTATTATTATTATTATTGCAGTAATCTTGGTTTATAACATTATATAAATTTCAGGTGTCTGTTGTAACATATTTTGCTTTCTGTGCATATTACATCACGTTCCCAACCCAAAGACTAATTATAATCCATCACCGCATGCATGAGCCGAATCACCCCTTTCTCCCTCCTGGCTCCCCCTTCCCGTATAGTAACCACCATTCCAACCTCTGTTTCTATGCGTTTGTTTCTCATTGTTTTTATCTTCTACTTATGGGTCCCATCATATGGTATTTGACTTTCTCCCTCTGACTTACTTCACTCAGCATAATAGCCTCAAGGTCCATCCATGTTGTCACAAATGGCCGGATTTTCAGCATTTTTTATGGCTGAGTAGTATTCCCTTGTGTATAAATACCACATCTTCTTTATCCATTCGTGCCTTGATGGGCACCTAGGTTGCTTCCAAGTCTTGGCTATTGTGAATAATGCTGCAGTGAACACAGGGGTGTATCTTTATGCCTTTGCATTTTGAAGTTCTTTGGATAAATACCCAGCAGTGGAATAGCTGAATCATACAGTAGCTCTATCTTTAATTTTTGGAGGAATCTCCATACTGTTTTCCATAGCGGCTGCAACAGTGTGCAATCCCACCTCTTTCCGGTTCTTTAATGGAGAAAGATGAGGAATGTCACTCAAGGCAGCGGTGCAGAGGAGACCAAAAGACAGCAGGCAATTCCACTTCTGCGTGAGCACACCTGGAGGTCTTCCTGGAGGAGGCGACCTCGGAGCTGTTTCGAAGGCAGGAGCTGGTGGACCCACCCGGGAGACTTTCTGACCCCCGTTTTGAGCCTCAGGGGTGCTCCCGGGAAATTTGATACAGGGGGGCCCCTGTGGCCACAACCCTGGGATATTTTCCTTTGTCACTAAGACAGAAGGGGTCTTGAATTGAGGCCCGGCCATACGCTGCCCCTCCCTCTCCACGACTTCCCTCAAAACCTTCCAAAAACTTTTCAAACTGTGCCCTCCTCCCTCTGCCCAACGGGCTCAGACGTTCTCGTGACGTCTGGGTTTCCAACTTGCTAAAAATCATAAAAGGAAATCTGCAAACTGGAGAGAAGCCGAGACCGTATTTTGGCTCAATTCAGAGAAGCTTCAGTGGGTAAAACAGGAGGTGAGGGGCCGGCCCAGTGGCTCAGTGGTTAAGTGCGCGTGTCCCGCTTGGGCAGCCCCGGGTTCGCCGGTTCAAATCCCGGGCGCGGACATGGCACTGCTTGGTAAGCCATGCTGTGGCAGGCGTCCCACATACAAAGTAGAGGAGGATGGGCACGGATGTTAGCTCAGGGCCAGTCTTCCCCAGCAAAAAGAGGAGGATTAGTGGCAGATGTTAGCTCAGGCCTAATCTTCCTCAAGAAAAAAAAAAAAATGAGATGAGGGTGTCGTAAGAGACTGCTATCGGGCACGGGGTCACTTTTAGGGGATAGAATGTTCTAGAACTACATAGCGGTGATGGTTGCACAGCACTGTGAATGCCCTAAAAATCTCTGCACAGTACCCTTTAAAATGGTTAACACACTGACTTTTATGCATGTGCATTTTATCTCAAAAAAAAAAAAAAATTCTTTTTAACAAGCCAAGGGTGGGCGGGCTGCCCCAACTTCCTCTCCTGCCCATTAAAACCCTTCTTCCCACACCCACTGGCCCCCTCTCCGCCTCTATCATTGGAGAAGCCAAGTTGGAAGTTCTCTGAGATCCCGACCAATTCCAAGGTCACTTTTTGGCGCTCACTGTTTTTTAAACAGCTTTATGGAGAGATACTTCGCAGAACGTACAATTTTCCCATTTAAAGCGCACCATTCAGGGGTATTGAGTGCCTTTTCACAAGGTCGTGCCGCCGTCGCCTCTATCTGATTCCAGAACATCCCATCACCCCAAAAGAAGACCCCGCCCCAACCCCAGGAGCACGTGCCCTCCATTCTCCTCTCCAGCCCCTAACCACCGCTCACCCCCTTTCTGTCTGCGGATTTGCACGTTCTGGACGTTTCACGGACGTGGAGTCTGGCTTCTCTCCCTGAGCATCGTGTCTCCGAGGCCCGTCCACACGGCAGGGTGTCTCGGTGAAGAATCTTACGTTTACACAGAGCAGGGTTTGCGCCCACGCCAGGACGTCCGCGTTGCTACCACGCACCTGTCCCAGCTGAGGAGCCTGAGTTTGCAGGAGCTTAAGGGCAGAATCAGACGCTGCACCCAGCCCCTCCGGCAGCCTCGGTCCCGGCGGCCGTGCCCAGAAGGAGGGAACAAGGGGAGCCCTGGATGCTGCTTCTCCTCCAGGCATGCACTGGGGTCGTGCTTGCCCTGGAGGAAGGTTGGCCGGGTCCAGCGTGGGGTCAGCAAAGCCCCTGCGTGGTGCCAGCTAGGACGCCACACGGGCCGCTCTGGGGACGTCAGACCCCCACACAGGGTGCATCCCCAAGAAGGGGGCCTCCTGAATCAGGACGAGCCACAGGCGTTGGAGTGTAGGGTAAACTGAGGCCAGACTGCACTGATCGGTGGCCCCAGGGACTGGAGGCGGGGGGCTGGTGCGATCACAGGCCCAATTCCACAGTCTGTGAGGTCCCACATCCCTCAGGACGCCCCTCTTCATCCCCGGGGGGCCCCACTTCCTATTTACGGGGAACGACCTGCCCTCTCTTTTCTCCCTCTGGCTTCCTTGGTCCTCATCGTCCTGGCCCTGGGGTCACGAGGCAACATCAGCCTCTTGGATTCCGACACCTCCCTTCCGGGGCGGCCAGCGGGAGTGTGCCTGACCCTCCATCCAGTTCAAATGGACGGATGGTTCATGCAGGACCCCGAAGCCGCTCGGCTACACAGGCCGCCCCGGAGTTTGCATTCCAATCGCCCTTGGTCGTTTACACAAATAACTTCCATGCCGCGCAGTGCCTTGTCGGTCCCAGCTGTTCCAGGCATCCCCCCAAAATCTCCTCCAACCAGCTTGCCCGGCCACTCCCCTCATCAGAGACAGTCAAAGGCCTCTGTGTTCTTGATCCCCACCTGCCAGCCTCCATACAGTTGCACAAGATTGTTGCAGTATTCCTCGCTATTGTTGCACGAGACAGTCAGGCGGCACCCGTGTGTTCTCAGAGAGGTCGCTGGGCCCCCGCCGGGGAGGTCCATGCATCCAGCAGAGTGTGGCATTCCTGACAGCCAGCCTCAGTTTACAGCAGGCCGCCCGGGGGGCCCCCCCTCCCGGCTTAGCAAACAACCAAAGGCTCCCCCATCCGTGTCCGAGTGCCTTCCCGCAGCCTCTTTCCGCTCAGAGATGCTTCCGATGCCACTGAGGGGGCGGCAAACACAGGGCATGTCATGTCTGTGCTGCATGGCAGGGAGCGAGTGTGAGCGTGACTCACGCATGTGGGGCAGGGCGTGGTGCCGCCTGGGTCTCGTTGCATAAGCCGGGCGGACTCCCGCCAGCATCAGGCGGCCGCGCGTGGAGATGACTCAGTCCTGCCGGCCTGGTGGGGATTCACCGGGAGCCCTGTGCTCTCCGGAGACATTGGAGGGGGTCCCCGCCCGCTGGAGGGGTCCCCGTGTGCGTCAGGTCATAGACCATGCAGACCCTGGGCTCAAACTCAGGGGAAACGGTGCAGGGGGGGCTGCTCACGAGGCAATTGCTTTTCCAGCCTAGTTTTCCACTCCGAATATATGACGGGCTTGCCATGGAAGATTTATTTGTTTTCTTTTCTTTTTCTTTTTTAAAGATCAGCCCTGTTGCCAATCTTCCTTTTTTTTTTTTTTCTCCCCAAAGCCCCAGTACATAGCTATATATTCTGGTTGTAGGTCCTTCCAGTTGTGGCATGTGGGACTCCGCCAGGTCCGCGCCCAGGATCCGAACCGGCGAAACTCCAGGCCGCCGGAGCCGAGCGCGTGAACTCCACCGTTTGCCCCTCCCCGGGGGCCTCTGGAACATGTTTCTGACCCGCTTTTCTGCTCTCAGCTAGCTCAGCGACTTTTAATCAAACCCACGTGTTCCGGGATGGTAAACGCCCGAGGAGACAGCGGCCTCCTCTGTTCTGGGGTCACCACGCTGGGCTTCCAGCCGACATCCTGGGGAGGCGGCTCGCGCTGGTGGGTGGGAGATCTTCGAGTCGCACCCAAGACCCCCCCCCCCCCACCCTCCAAAAACTAAAAGCTAAACGTAAGAAAGCTGCCCACCGGCGCTCGGAGCAATTGCATCAACTCTAGGAACCAAACCCAGAGCCACTGCCCCCTCTCTGTTCAGACTCCACCCTCTGCGAGATGCTAAGCTGCTTCACGTTGCAGTTTCCGTGCCCTGAATGTCCCCACTCCGACGCAGACCCTGCAGTTAATAGGACCAAGGGCGATTTTGCAAAGCAAAGAGCCGAGCTGTTGTTGGAGTAATAATAACAGGGCCCGGAGGCTGGTGCAGAGGAGAGAAAGCCTTGCAGCTCCAGGTTCCGCTAACCACTGAGTTATTTACTTGCATCTAAAGGAGACGACCAGCCCCAGGCGACCTCCAAAAAGAGGGAGAAAACAGAAAACCACACCACTCCCCAGGACCCTGGCACCGACGACACCGGTTACCAGCGGAATTGAAACGCCGCCGAAATTAATTACCGTCAACCGCGTCCCTCACGTGGCTCGCAACCCGCTCGGGAACACAGACGCCTCTGGGGTTTTATCACCCCAACCAGCGTCCTTGCATCTGCGTCCTCTCTTTAAGGAGCAGCTGCCCTCTGAGCCAAGTTTCGCCCGTTTCTTGACGTCAGATTTTAATGGTTTCCCCCAAAGTACAGGGTTAATTTAAACCGGTCCTTCTGGGCTCAGCTGCCGCCCGTGA